AGTATAAAAACAGGAAAGGAGGTTGGGAGCATCCTACATAAGAAGGACACAGACTTGTTGGGGCAAGTCCAGAGGACAGCCACAAAGATGCTGAGAGGGCTGGAGCACCTATCCTATGAAGACAGGCTGAGAGAGTTGGGATTGTGCAGCCTGGACAAGAGAAGGGTCCATGGAGAATTCTGAACATTCCAGTACCTAAAGGGTGTGTAGGAGAGATGGAAAGGGACTTTTTACAAGGGCATGTAGTGATAGGATGGGGGAATTGGCTTTTAACTTAAAGAGGGGAGGCTTAGATTAGATACTAGGATAAAAATCTTTACTGTGAGGGCGATGAGGCACTGGATGTGGATGACCTATCTCTGGGAATGTTCAAATCCAGGTTGGATGAAATTCTGAGCAAACTGATTTATCTAAAGGTGCCCTGCCCATGGCAGGGGGCTTGGATCTAAATGATCTTTAAAGTCCCTTCCAACCAAACCATTTTATGATTTTACAGTAAATTATTCAGAGACTGGAATTGATATGTATTATTTATCTATGTATGCACAGTGCCCTATGAAGATTAAATCAAATTATGTTATTTGAGAACTACACCTTGTAGATTTGTTAATACTTCATAGTTATGTCTTTTCCTTACATAAAGGCAGTCAGCAAAAAGTTACTTGATTTTGTTCTAGCCAGAATGCAAGTCTCAAATTTTTATTGAATGTAATCATGTGTATTTATGTCCAGCAGCTCTGTTGTTTATCCCACTTAAACCACTGACCAACTAAAACCAGGCTTATGAACGATCTGCTTTCAGTGCTATTTCTCAAATGCCACCAGGAGACACTAAGCATGCCGTTGTTTCCAGTTTCCCAGTGTTAGTTTTCCCTTTCTTCCAAAGAAGGTCAAGATTGAGCTAGTACCTGTATTAGTACAAAATAAAGGCATTTCCTCTTAAATTTTTGGCCAGCCACACTATCTTGTGCAGGGGGATAGCTCAAGCTTTTGTGACTGCTGAGTCCCAGCAGGATGGATGATTTTGTTGTCTTTGTTTCCAGCAGCTGATTTAGATCCTTTTGAAGTTCTTTTGCCAGAACTCCTTGGAAAGTGAGCCGGAAGTCAAAAGCCTCCACCTTCTTAACTGCTGAATGCTGGTGGGGCAGTGAAGGTAGGCTTATCCAAATCATCTATTTTACTAGTTTCCTCCACTCTCCTTGACACAAATAGCTCTGTGTTTCACTACTTCCACTAAGTTGCCTGTGGGAGAGAACTAGAGAAAGTTCCTTTTCTTCCATTCCTGTGTAGTTTGTTATAGGAAAAAAAATCAAGTCATGTAATTGAGGAAAATGATGGTCTATTCAAGCAGAAGAATTTCTGCCTGTATAAGGACTAGAGGAATAGGCTTTAACGTACATGCTCTCCCAAATTCTCACTTCTCTGTTTATCATATAATTATGACTTCAACTTCTCCTCCCTCAAATGAAGGCGTATCAAACTGCCATACATCATCTTAGAATAGGCTTTTACTATGCAGGATAGCTAACCTTTGTTCTCAATGACAGCACTTTAAAGATTTTTCTCAGCTTGCCACTTCTTGAACTTCTTGTTCATGACATGTGATGCTGGAGCTGCCTCCTTTCAAGCTCATCTCTTCTGCACTAGAATCCATGCAGTTCTTGCTTTAGACCTAAATAACAAGAATGTGACCTTGATGCTATGAAAGCACTGCCCAAACCTTCCACTGATTGCAAGAGCCAGAGTTACCTTTACATTCTCTTTAATGTTTCTGGATATTGATAACTTTTATGGCAGAAGCATTAAAAGTAAATACTGGCACTGGAAGCACCTTCTTCTGGACATCTCTCATTGAATTCCTGGTTTCAGCCTAAGGATCCCAAAATGGAGTTGTAGAAAATTTCTACAAAGTTCTGAAAGCATCAAAGTTAGTCTCGATCTCCGTAAAGAATCTGCAAACCTCATTTGAATATTTTTGTCTTTTGCTGTTTGTTATGTGCATCATAATATCTGTCTTGCATTACAAATAAGAAATAGAGAACACATTTGTGTCCTAATTTTGGTAGCAATCCTCTCTTTTTAACATATCTAAGCACAAGACTAATCATTATAATTAAAAAAAGGCCATTCTTCACAGCTTAGGGGCTTAAACTTTTATATTCTTCCTCTATTCTGAATGTATCCCTCAGGAAACAACTCTCTGTAATAATCACCTTGCCTACACTTCTTCAGTCACACATTACATTCTCTCTCCCACTTTCTTTCAGGTTAATATTAGTGTTTGTCAGCAGCAGACTCTTTTTTCAAGGCTCTGAGTCATTACAGTAACAGTTATGTTCTCAGTAGAGTTCAGGGTAGGAAAAAACCTCAGCCCAATGCCTACAAGTATCTGACTGTTAGAGAACCAGAAGGCTACTCACTCCTTTCTCACTCCTTTTAAATGCCAAGTGTTCAATTACGTTCCTCTTAAGATTTGGGAGGGTTTTTTGTTGGCTTTCTTTTTTTAATTTGGGGAAAAGTCAAATGTGATGTAGTAGGTTACTAAAGCTCATGATGAGGAATTTTGGCTTCAGATTTTTCCTAAGTGCGATAGGTTTTTTCCAAGTATTTCTTTAGCAGAGTTTGATTGGTTGGTATTTCGGTCTAGCTCACAAGGCATTCAGTCTCTGTCTAGTCCTATATAGATACCTGTGTATGTTACAAAATCACTTCACCCGTTATCCTAAACAGGGATCTGTACTGATAATTCAGTCAATAGCAGAAGTTTTGCAAGTTTGGCTTCAGGCCTTGATAAAGCACAGGAAAAACAGAGATCTAGAGAGTACAGTTTCCAGTTCTGGCTACTGCTGCCCTTCCCTGTCCTGTCCTCTGAGATGCTCTGCTGTTCTTTGGAAACCAAGTCAGAGTACACATCTCAGTGGCCTATGCTTCAGCACAAGAGTTGTGCACAACTTTCCCACTGAGCCTCAGGGGTATGTGAAGCCTGATCTGGGGATCATGTTTAAAACAGATCTAGACATGTAAGCTTTTCAACTGAACTGGACTTCTGTTTCTGAGGGGTGCACTCTTCCTGGACTGTGGGTCAAATCTGAGCCCACACCACCATCCTAGAGATTTTCTAATCAGGCAGGCAAGGATTTCCCTCATGATGATGAATGTTACAGAAGCATATAAATACATAGGCACTGTTACCTTTCTTGTTGCTAAGTGCTCCCTAGTCAGAAAGAGCTCTTAGCAGTTGTCAGAAATGCTGCACTATAATTTAAAATAAACTGTAAATCCCTGAGATGGATGAAGGTATCAAGATGGATGATCTTGCAATGGTCAGTAGAGAGGCTGCTGGTGATTTCAATGACTTTGCTTGCCAGTCATGATTGAAGATGACCATCCATATTGAAAGGGGCACAGCAAAGAGGATCAGGAGGATACATCAAAGGCTAAAGGATAGGTGCTATTAAACATTTTCCAGCCTGCAAGCTTGTAGTTTTTTTCAATTTCCTTCTGACTGAGAGATTGTGTCCCGAGGAAAAACCAAAAGTATTCCATATTGCTCGCAAACAGGCATAATCCTTGGAGTGAGTGATGTTCCTGTCTTCCATTTTCCTTCTAAATCTCTGTGCTGCCAGCCTTTCTTATTTTTCCTGGTTTTATGTTAAAGAAAGCCAACTTGCCTAAACAGGCAACTGGCCCCTGTTCCATAAGATAATGGATCCAACTATTATCAGAGGCCAGCTTGGAGGACAGCTATACAACTCCATAGCTATACAGCTACTGTTCAATAGTCACCATGGCAAATACAAACCCTCCAAAATGCAAAGATGGAGGTGCTAGCAACTCTCCAAAATGCAAATAAGCAGCTTGCAGTGTTCTTGTGGATTGCTTTTGCTTTAATTTGTCCTTAGGAATGAAAATGTTTGTCACATCTCTGAAAACAGAAACACAGTTTGGTAAACCTCATCTACCACTAAGGTGGCACAGGGAGACACCTACTCAATCCAACTATATTTAGTGGAGTGCCAGTGTAGAAACAGCCATACCAGACTCTACTTGGAGTTCATGTCGCTTCTCCTTATCTTTGATGCTGTCTGGATGCTCTGGAAAAGAATATAAGAAGCCTTAGGAATGGGAAGCCATATAGTAATCTCTTAATGGGGATTCTTACTTTCTAACTTGCTCCAAAAAATCCCTGTACTCTGAGGGTTTATTTTTCTTCTTGGGTTTCTTCTTAAAAACAAACAAAAAAATCCTATGCTACTTGATATAGAGTTTTCTGATACTGAAAAGACCCAGTTTTGAGCACCAGTAATATTTGGTGGCAATGGATTTTAGAAGATATTTATATCTGACCTTTTGAGCAAAATATCTGCAAAAATGAGAAGACTAGGTCTGTCTGCTTATTGACACTTCTCTTGACCAGCACTCCTGAGTTTAAATTTATCAAAGGATAATTTTATCACTACCTTCTTCAATTTCTTACTCACTTCCAAAAAGGCTTTGGGGAACTTCTCAAAGACCTGCTAGAAAAAGCAGGGTCATGATCCTCTTGTGAAGGATGCCCATGCAACTTAATAGCATGGCCCTTCTTAGCCCCTAGTGCCTGGCTTGATCAGGATTCCAAACTATGTGCAGCTTCAGTAATACTAAACTAGATCAGCTGTAAGCCACAAAGAGATAACTGCTGTATTTCAGTTTATTAGCTATTCAAGCTCACTTTTAAACTTTTAAAAGGCAAATTATAATTGAAAAGATCTCGGTAGAAACATATTCTCCTTTCACAGTCTATGGATATGCGTATTTAAGCTATCATGCCATGACACTGTGCTCTTTGATTTATATTTTTACTGATGCTTTGACTGAGTAGTTTGTTGCAATGTACTGCTAAATGAAGGAAAAATCAAAAACTGCATCAGACAACCACTCTGTATTTCATTCTAGAAAATAGCTGGCAATTATAATTACTCACCATGTTTCTGGCTCAGAATAAAAGTGGCATTGCACAAAAAAACCACACTGAACATTCATCGTGATTAGAAAATGCTCCATACCTTGGAGTGCAGTGGAGACATAAGAATAATTTTAAATGCAAATTAAATTGTGGGGGTAGCAAAGAGAACAGATAAAAGACAGTAAAACAAAGCCTTTCACTTTCCTCAAATTAGCAGGCTAATGTAGTATAAAAAAAAGCAGTTCTACTCAGATCTGTGCTAAGAGCTTTCATTTCATCATAATATAAAACAGCAGATCCGTCACCTTTCTCTATTCAGTACTCTTGATTTCGAGGTTGAAGTGAAAATTAGAAGCTGTTCTTTCTGGCTCACAGACTGGGTTGCATTTGCTTAGTCTTAATCCATGACAGTAGGATGGAAAGAGGTCAGTAACACTGGTAAGTACTTCTGCATCTGATTTTATTTATTTATTTTTAAAATCTTTCAGTGCTTTGGCTTTTTGTCAATGTGCATTTCCTAAAAAAAGCTACATTGTGTATTTTGTAAAAGGCTGTATCTTAAGCAGAAATGCAACAATTCCTTGAGCATGCTTATAACAGATGTTAGAGCTCCTTCAAAAATGAATTAATTCCTTACAGTAGGAATTCTGTAATAGGAAAGATTTCTCAATATTCTATATATTTCATAGCATTACTGGAACATTTTGTATGTTGCTTTTTCTGTCTGCCTTGTCCAACAAGCAGTACCAGATAAGAAATGCATCTCTTCTCAAGATGTTATTTGCATTATATTCATAGCAAAACAATCTCATTACACTTATGGTAAATGATGGAGTAAGCAGGTATTTTAGTTAGTGAAAGAAAACTATTAGATAAAACATAATGTTATGTTTAAATTTAATAATTATGAAACATTAAAATTATCTCAGAATCTGAGATGCAACAAGGAAGATCGACGTGTAAAACAAATTCTTAAGGAAACTTGATACAGATTTTTTTTCCTTGGGAAAGTTTTTATCAAATCAAAACCAGGGGCTTAATTTTTTAGTACGAAGGGCGAGGGGGAGTGGGGGAGATGAACGTAGTGTCACCTCCTGTTGCTAAGTAACAACATCTCCTGGCCATTTTTATCTGATAAAGGAAGTCCAGTTGACGTTATGCATTATTCATCAGAGTTCCAATCAAACAATCAAAATTGTTTGCTTACACTGGGGACATTTAGTAAGATCAAAGAAACCCTCCTTGAAACTACTGGAGCTTACACCACTGCCAGACAGCCCTTGATACTCTGCAGTAAGTATCATTTCTGGTTTGGGAGTGCTACAGTAAAGTGAATTACTGTGGAACGTAAAAGTTTTCTCATCAGGACAGACTTCTGAATTTTAAAAGGACTGCATGTTGATTGATGAGAACTGAATCAAAGGGAAAAGGTAAAGGTTTGGAAGCCTAGTTTCCTGACTTTTCACAGCAAAATTGAAGGAATTACTTGAAGCAAGAATCAGACTCCCTGCCTCAAACCTTTTTGTTAGGTTTGCACGGAAAAGGACTAGAGGTATTTTTGTCCGTCTGTCTTAAAATACATGTTGTTCAGAGTTGTTTGCATGCTTATGATTACATGCTGTGGTGAACTGTGATGTGGGTGAGAGAACGGGGTTGTGTGTTTTCTGCAAATCCTGTTTTTTTAATGTGAGTTTTTAAAAGTATAATAAAATGCAGAAGGTAGTAATGAAGCTGGAGAAGGGTCACAATATCTTTCCAGGAACTCTGTCGGGCTCAGGCAAACATAATTCAGTGTACAGCTTGGAGAGTTGTAATCCAAGATCTCGGCAGATCTACGATTCGAAAGGATGCCAAAAATATGAACCTTAGCTACAAAACAGTGCTAGGAGAAGCCTACTGTTTCTTAATGATTGCTCTTACCACATATTTTAAAACCGATGGTGGAATGTTCTGTTGCTACTTCTGGTCAGCAAGAGGAGAGAGGAGAGGCAAGGTTGGCTTCTGGTCCATTTAGGTGGAGTGAAATATCCAGAATATTGTGTCTTCCTTTTTAGTGCAGTGTTTTGACATAAGTGGCAAGAATGCAATCTTTAATGTAGTCTGTTATAGTAGTGCGTACTTAGAGGCACTGGCTATGAATCTGGCTAAAGGAGGTCCTTGTCCTGAGCTTTTCTAATTTTCTTTTTAAGGGCAAATGTAACAGGCAGATGAATCCAAGTATGTGTCTTAAGAAATGGAGACTGTCTAGAATACAGGTGATTGCACTAGGAAGATACAAGGAATGTTGCTAATACTGCAGTAGCACTTTTCTCTTTTGTCTTTAGACAAGGTTTTGAACCAAACATTCTAAAATAGAAAAGGATGCTTATGAAGTTCTATGAATAGTGACTTGAAAATACTTTGACCCTAATATGCCAGATGAAGTACTTTAGTGACTGCCTACACAGTACTTTCCACAAAGAAACCCACCAGCTTTTTTCTCTGACATCTCTATAATCTTTTCTAGGAATCTGACTGATCATTCATACCGGAGTATTGTACACAAAGCACCTTCAAAATGGACTACTTTTTGGATGTTGAGTCTGCTCACAGACTGTTTTACAGTCAAGGAGCCCAAGGTAAGAAACTCTGGCACTGACTCAGAAAATTACTAGTTTAACAGTACAGTTAAAATGTATATGGCCAGATAGGGGCCAGTGACCAACATACATAAGTGTTGAGAGGGCACAGGGCCTTTAAAATGCATGGGCTTTAAAAGGGACTACAAGAAGAGTAATGGTGGGGTTGATCTGCCCTCTCAGAGGATAAGTAGGAGCTGTGAGAGCTCTTGCATGTGCTGCAGGAGGAAAAAGAGCTGCCAAGACACAAATGGACATGACAGAGGAGACAGCAATGGCCTGCAGCTTGCTGAGTAAGCCTGTAGTGTCCTTTCCCTTCCTTCTCTTTCTTCTCAGCGATCACAAGGTGGTGTTACTCAGGAAAAACTGGTTTGGGAAGGCCCTGAGGCAGTCCCCCACCCAGTTTGCACAGAGCAGCTCTCACTGGTCTTCATTGTCCCCTGTGAAATGCTGGCCCCCACAGAGCAGCAGCAGGGTGAGAGGGGAAGGGTAACCAAGATCCACTGCTTTAATGTAGTTGAGACTTGTTCACAATATAGATGATATTTTTGGTAAAGTCAGTTCACATTTTTCTCACCAGCTCTATATTTGGAGAAAACTTGCAATTTCAGAGAGAAGGGTTTTTTCCCTTAAACTTTAAACACCATATTAAATTCAAGAAAATTGTAAGAGCCAAGTAGCTCGATCGGCCATTTTTGTTTCTACATACTGCCTGTTTTTTGAAAATGGGATCCATTTTTCTTTCACTATTAATGTCATTAATTGCTAATCAAATGCAAAGTGTCGACAACAGAGTTTGGACTTCCCTCTGGAGGCTATTCTCCCAGAGCAAGATGTAATCCACTCACAGGATGCCACCATCCCAGGATAATGGGGAGCAGTACCACCTCTGACCTCTGGCTCAGCCGAGGTGCTGCCGCCTAACACACGCTGTGTTGCTTAGCTGCTGTCTCAGTTGTTGTGATACAATTTCATCTGTACCAGTTGTAGAAAGCCTTTCTTGTCACAACACAGCTTCCTGCATTGAACAAAAGAAGCAATACTAAGCACCTCAAAATCAGGGAAAAACCACTGAGGGCAATGAGTGATTTTGATGGGGTTTTTTTTCTCCCTCTCTAAAATACAACAAACACCTGGGTGTTGCTAAGAAGTAATTTTGAAATATGTTATTCAATCCTCTTTGAGCAGAGAGGTTGGACTAGATGACCTCCAGTTCCAACCATAACAATTTTGTGATATCTCTATGTCTCTATGGGAACAAACCATTTCTATTCCATAGAAACTAAAATTCAGGAATATACATCTCCCTGCTTTACAAACTATAGCAAATTATCAACAGCATCCCAATGCCCTGCACTGCAACTTACAGAGGCAACTGTGGAAGAAAGAATATATGATCATGCAATGAAAGTCTCCCTCCACAACTAGAAACATTGACAGAAAAGCCATGCTGCACTTAGGCTCTGTCCGCTTGCACTTTCCGCCTTTCTCATTGCTCTTTTTACTGCATTTCTCGCAGCTCCTGCCCTTTGCATCTCTTACCTCTACAGGCTTGAGGTGAGGTCTCTTCTCCAAAATCTAGTAACCTTCCCTCTCTTCCTATTTCTGTGTTTGAGATCAGCTGCTCTCCAACAAGCTGAGTGCCAGCAGGGAAATTGCTCTGAGCACAGAAGAGACAATGCTTCTTCTTTACATTCTCAAATGCTGCAACACAGCAGCCCCCTGGCAACAGGAGAGGTGCTTGAGGGGAAGAACAGACGAACAATTGCAGTGGCAACAGGACGTGAGATGAAAGGTGGCCTGTGCAGAGAGAAGTTTCAGGAGGCTTTCATTGAACCTCTCTGAGGTGCTACAGACTGCTTCAGCAGGCCAAACAATAAGCCTCTGGAAGAATTATGATCATCAAGCTTTTCTGAAGAAAATGCCTCTACCACTACCTTTAGCCCCAAACTTCTAAATAACCCCTTCCCCTCAGCTGCTTTACCCCCAGTACAGAACAAGCAACCCAAACCTATTGAGTGTGTATTCATGCTGCCTATACAGCTCTGCTAACTCCCGTTGCCCTTGTACCATATGCCAAATTTTAAGGCTGTCTTCCAAAAACAAGCCCTTTCATATGAGGTAATGGCATGATATCTCCAAACATGGCCAAAATCATCATATTTCTTTCCTTCTCCACCTTCTGAAAAACAAGCTAACTGCATTAAGCCTTAACTTTCTGAAACCGCCCCCAAAACACACTGAATGTGAGGCACTCATCCGCAATAAATAGCATAGCTCAAGTAGCTAGTATGGAACTGAATAAAAAGTCTGCAAGAAAGCATTGCCAACAGATCTGCCTAATGGGATTGCAAGTAACTATTTGATGTTGGTATAATAGCATGACACTATTAGCAAAACACACTATCAAACAGCATGTGTATATGCATTAAAACTGCAATAAGAACTGAGTGAAAGAAGACTACAGTATTCTGCCATTTAATTAGAAACAACATCAGAAAACAGTATATGTGTTATTAGTAGTGTAGTTATATTGTTAGTTATTGCATTACAAAGTGCTCTGTTTACACAATGTAGAATAGGGGTTTATGACCCACTCAACTCTTTTATGAGATTTGAAGGTCTCTGCCCTTTAGTACTCCAGATCAAGAAAAAAGTCTTTCCAGTGTTTTGACATTAATGACATGACAATGTTACAAATGGCAGCTGTAAAGCACTCATTCTCATTTCTAGTCATTCCTTGTGGATGGAAGAGAAGGGAAGGAATAGGACTGCAAAATGTTGGGAAGGAACTCAAAGAGCTATGATGTCATTGACAACTGATGACATAAAATTCTACCTGGCCTGGGGTCATATGTAGTTGAATGTGTGATACTCTGACCTCAACAAATAGACAGGGTTTTATCCTCCAGCAACTAACCCACCAGTTCTCTGCACCTTACTGCCTGCACTAACACCCACACCTTGTCCCTGCTCCTGCAGAAAGATGCAAACTGCCTTTGCTGTTTTAGGGTAGGAGGAGAGAGGTGTTACTTTATGAGCTGCCACCTCTCCCATCCTCTCCTCTGCAGGAGCAGCCATCACCTCACTTCCATGTGCTGAGCACGGAGCAGAGAAATGCTTGCCCGTTCAGGCTGTTCTGCTGTTCAAACAGCTGTTCCCTGTTTCCTTCAAGGAAAGTGAAGCAGGAGGGATGGAAAAGTCACAAAAGCTGGATCTGCCAGTAGGATTAGCTAGATTTAGAAAACTTGGTAAATGAAGCCAGCTGGCTGTAGTCTTCAAACACAAGCCAGAAATATCCTAAGCTCTGCAGCCCTCCTGACTGTCTCTTCTGTACTGTATGTTGGAATCTAGGAGCTGGTGGGATGTCCTTGCCAAGTGCGTAATGCCTGGTGACGCATCTGCAAATCAGAAACAGGAAAGAAAGGACTGTGATCCTTTGGATCCAGCCTCTTGCCCTTGGAAAGCCTGAATCTGAAATCTAAGCATGAAGCTGGACTTTCATTTTCAAAAAAGGCTTCTCCTTCCAAAGCGTCTGGATGATACTGGTTATTCTTGGCTGCAAATGTATTCTAAATGCAAATCTATCATGGCTTTCAGCTGCAAGGGCTGAAAGTATGTAATGTGGCCTGGAATAGGATTTAGTTCACTTATCCCTTAGGTGGCCTCAGTGATGATGTTTCTACCTAAGAGTTCTAACTAGCTTAGCATGTATCAGAAAAAAATGTCATTTTAAAAGCAGGGTTCACCTAATCTTAGGTATCTTCCTTGGATTAATCTAAGTCTTGCCTCTATACTGATTATGAAAGCCTAGACAGTGAAACTGAGTGAAAGATGCCTGTGCTAATGGCACTTGTTTGCATAGAGGAATGGCAAGATAGAATCTAATTCAGAAAAGAGAGTAACTTTCCCAAAAATGGGTAAAGCAGTAATCCAAAGCTGTAAATGTGAAGATTACATCTTGGCTGTAGCCTGGTTTGGAGAGGCATCATTGATCTTGAAGTTCTATACAAAAATTATGCTTTTGGGCATGAAAAGAAAGACTTCACATTTGACAGAGCTGAGCAGGAGACACTGAGAAGCAGCAGAAGTGAGCAGCTCCATAAGGGAAAATAAACCCAGAGTCACCAAAACAGGCAGAGGCAGCAGCCTCACCTATGAGAGGTAAAGCACGGCAGCACACGAGCCAAGCAGGTCTGGTGACAGTCACCAGGTTTAGTCAGGAGTCCAGACCATCAGACAAGTCCATGGGTGATGAGGCAGGCATGAGACTAAGCAGGACATGAAGTCAGCAGTCTGGATGTGGATCAGTGAGGAATGTAGCCAGCCACAGGCATAGTTGAAGCCTTGCTCAGCAAATGGGCAGTGGCCACAGTGTAAGTGTAACTCCAAAATCAGGGAGAAAGCAGATTTTGAGGCTTCTTGCTTCTCTCTCAAGAAGCTCCAAAGCTGGTCAAGGCCTCTTAAACCACTCTCTCCAACATTTGTACCACGTCAAAGAGCCTGATTTGAGACACAGCCAAGTAAACTCTGTGCAAAGAGTGCACACAGAGCTGTTGGTACCTGGCTTTCACCTAGGCTCCATCACCTTGGATTAAGAACTGAGGAACCCCTCCCTCCCTCCCATTGTATACCAGGGGAGCTGAGCACCTGGATGAACTCTAAGAGAGAAGAATAATTTCTGCCCAGTACATTGCAAGAGAAGGCTTTAGGTACAGCCATAAAAGGGGATTTGCCCATCACAGACAGCACATGGCACTTGTCTGCAGGCATGATCTGATGGAATGGGGCCCAAGACTCGCCCTCTCTTGGTGCCTCTAGCAACAGCATGCCAGTCTGACAGCATGGGCTGACAGTGCAGTTTCAGGGTGCCACTCTGGGATGCAGGCATCCACCTTTGCACCACAGTGCAACTCTCAGGTCCCTGCTGGGAGTTTGGCTTCAGCTCTCACATGACTTCTGACTCAGTAAAATACTTTCTAATTTCCTGTGAGAGAGCT